CATTTCAGATCAGGAGCACCTGGTTCCCGAACTCGATCAGCAAGAAGACTACGAGTAGATGCTAGATACTTTATAGTTTCCTTTATTTTTTTCATTTTTCGTATTTCTTTCAGAGAATTTATTCCGTGATATTTGTTAATACTTTTGAGTTATCGTGTAAGAGATGTTAACCTTAACCTTTATTTCACTTCCGCACTCAAATTATTATATGTATTTTTTTTTTAAATTTTCGGGGTCGTTACACATGCAATCATCTTTCCGTCTCTCAAGTTTTAATTACATGAACTGACTCATTACACTTATAGCAAATTATATATTAGGTCTTATGTGCGAGAGATAGATCAATTTCCCAACTAATATCTGATATCGTCCCTTATGTACCGGAGGACTTTCGCCTTGAGTCTCAGACTTCATATTTGTTTCCATGGAAGTCTCAGCACAGCCAAGCATTCTTGTCTTCTTAGGCAAGTTAATGGCATATTTCCTTTACGAGACTATGATTCCCCGGCAACTCCTATCTCAAAGAAGTATTTTAGATTTTCCAAATCTCTGGTCTCAAATCCCTTAGCCAGGATACCTTTTAGCTTCGTAAGTTCAACTTCATAATTCTTTATTAGGATTATATCATCCACATATACTATTAACATTGTCAATTACTGTTACGAGAGTATCTCGCATATAATGTTTTATCTATTTGGCATTTTGGTGTAGTCAAACTTTCTTATTATTTTCTTAAACCTTTCAAACCAATCTCTTGGAGATTGCTTTAATCTATAGAGCAATTTACATAGTTTGCATACTTTACTTCTATTTGTCTATGCTCCAAAGCCCATGGAAATATTCATATAAACTTTCTCTGTAAGTTCTCAATTAAGGAACACATTCTTGACATCGAGTTGATAAAGTTTCCAATCAAGATTAGCCATCAAGGAAAATAATACACGAACAATACTCAGCTTGGCTACAGGGACAAGTCTCTTTGTTGTCAATATCATATGATTGTGTCGATCCCTTGGGACTAACCAATCTTCAAGTCTCTCCGTACTTCTATCAGCTTTATATTTCACATTGGAGATTCACTTGCATCCCATTATCTGTATTCCTTCAGATAGTTCTATAAGTTCTCAAATACCATTTTTCTTTACAGCCTTCATTTCTTCTAAAATCGTTATCTTCCAATATGGGATGCTCATGACCCCCTGGATTGTCTTCAGCATCTGAGTATAAGTTTGAGACAAATGCATGAAGCTGTAGTGACAATCCTTTCCATGAAACAAAATTGTATAAGAGGTGGCTAGTGCATGACCTTACCCCTTTTCTTAGAGCAATTAAACGATCATCAATCATGGATTCACTTAACTTTCCTTGGATTTTATGTTGACTGATTGAGAACTTTCATCTACAATGGACTCTTGGCCTTCCACAGGTATTACATGTTGTTATAGATCCTCTTGAATTTTCTTCTTCCTTGAGTATACAATGAATTCTCCATTCTTAGCTAGCAGTGGGCAATACTGGTTCCTGACAATCTTTATGGATAAGATCACGTTCACAATGCGTGTCAAGCACATTGTCTTGCAATGAGTTGAAGATAGGTAGTGACTCCATTTTTTTAAGTCAAAATTGGTTAGTTTCCCCTATTTGATCCAAAATAGGGAATTCTTGTTGAATCTCTCCCACTAAATGACTAGTTTGGGATAAAATTGTTCGGATTCAAATCATGTAACATCCATAGAAGTATAGGATTACCTGTTATTTGGGGAATAACATTTGTATCCCCAAGAAAAATACATTTTCCTAATTTAGGCTCAAGCTTACCCCAGATGTGAATGAACGTGGACAAATGTTGTGCACCCAAATGTTTTTAGTCGTATGGATGATATCGTGCGGGTCTAAGGGAACATCATGAGCAGCTTATGGTTTGGTGTAAGAGACTTTAGTACTTTTGAAGGCATTCCGTTGATAAGGTAAGTGGCAATGACTATAGTTTCCTCTAACAAATGGTTTGGAGCATGAGTTGTGAATATGAGTGATCTGACAACCTTTAGGATGTGATGATTTTTTCTTTCTACGACCTCATTTTGTTGGAGTATATCAACAAATAAACTTCAATCTACAATATCTTGATTTTCTAAATATTTTTCAAGAGTTTCTTCAAAGTATTTCTCAGTATTATCAATTCAAATTATTTGAATTTTTGGGTGGAATTGAGTTTGGATCATGAGGTTGAATTTTTGAAACATCTCCCTAACTTCATATTTTTCTCTCATAAGGTATACACATGTGATTCTAGTGTGGTCATCAATAAATAAAACAAACCATCTTACTACTGTTATGTTGTTTACCCTTGTGGGTCCCTATACATTACTATGAATTATTGAGAATGGGCTTTGATTCTCTGTAAGATTGAGCATGATAAAAGTTTACAAGAATGTTTTGCAAATTGGCATAACATACTAGAAGTTCTTAAACTTTTTATTGATGAATAAGGAACAGTCTTTGAAGATATTAAAATTGTAGTGTCCTAATTTATAGTACCACAACATAACTACACTTCATCCTTCGTGTAAGAAGTAACTCCGGATGGTTGTTCTTGGAGGTACGTGCTCTTGAGGATATAGAGTCCATGATGCACCTTACCATTGCTAATCGTCCTCCCCAAGCTTAGTTCCTGAATTTCAATGAGGTTTGAAGAGAATATAGCAACATTATTCAGCTCTCGAGTGAGTTTACTAACACATAGCAAATTACAACTTAGATATCTTTGTTTAGGAGTATTGAACCCTTTCCAACAGCCCGTGCTGAAGACCCATCTACAATTTTGACAAACATGTTCTCATTGCAAGGATTATAAGTTTTGAAGACCCTATATCACCAGTCATGTGGTCTAAAGCACCAAAATCTATAATCCAGGTGTTGTCCAATTTTGGCATTGACATTATAGCATTTATAAAGTTACGTGAGTGAGCAACCGACCAGCACTAGACTATTTATTTGGTGGGGGTTGATCAGCTTTTACAAGAATTTCATCTGTTCTTTACTAAACATAGCTGGTTCTATTAGAGTAGAGTCTTCTTCTGCAGCAGTGTTTCCTCTTGCTTCCTTACTCTTAGGGTTCCAGGTTGGTCTCCAATCTACTAGTATACCCTGAATTTTCCAGCAAATTTCCTTTGTGTGCCCTGCTCTTCGGTAATGGTCACACCAAGGTCTCCCTTTCATCTGTTTTCTCTCTCCCTCGATTATCTGGCTATTTTGGACAAGAAATGCCAAGCTTTCAGTGATATGCAATTGATTTAGGTTTCCAAGCATCACTTTTTTTCCGCTTCCCTTCATGTGCAACTCGGAGAAGGCCTCGCGGATACTGGATATGGGTTTTGAACCCAAGATTCTTCCTCAGATTTCATCAAATTTTTGTTATTGAGTCCAAGCAAGAACTTGTATAGCCTTTTCTATTCAACAATATATTTGTATCTCAAGCCATCTTCAGAGCAATTCCACTGATGTTCTTCAAACATTTTGAGTTGCCGCCAATTCCTGGTCAACATGTTGAAGTATTGTGTTATGCTGAGGCCTCCTCTCTGCAAGTCATAAAGTATGCTCTCCATTGCAAACACCTCAACCGAGTTGTCTACTTTCGGGTGAGTCTATTTTGCTGCATCCCGTATTTCCTTATCTGATCCAAACAGGAGGAAATTCTCTGCAATCTCATACGTCATCGAGTTGATGAGCAAGGACATAACCATTTTGTTTCCGGCTTTCCAAGCTTGATACCTTGGATCTTCATTTGATGGAGAAACAGCAGCTCCAGTGAGGTAATTGTCCTTTCCCTTTCCACATATAAACATCATCACAGATTGCAACCATGGAAGGTAATTTTGGTAGTTTACTTTCTGTCCAGTGATAGACACCGCAGGGCTGTCCATTTCTCCGTTATTCTCTGTTGAAAAGTTTTCAAAAGGGGATGTGACTTCAAAGGTCACGGTGTGCTGGCTCGTCATCGCATATTTTGTCATTTTGGGTGGGTTTAATGAAGATGATGATAGTGGTTCAGAGATGGTTCTGATATCATGTTGTTTGATAATTGTCTAATGATTCTCTTCGTACACTGAAACTAAAAATATATAGAAGGGTTTAGAAGAGTCATGATACAACAATTTAGGCAAGAATTCCCCTAAGTTGGTTCTCCTAGGAAGGAAAGGAATTTATACAGATTTTATGGGATACTAGAGTCAAATCTAGATCCTCTTATTCGGCTCATAAAATCTAGGAAACAAATCTGTACAGGCTCCTTCAATCTAGGAACCAAATCTGTCCAGACCAATTTTGTTTAGGAATCTACATTTACTTAGAAAATGTCCTCTTGAGATCTATTCACATAGTTCAAAGCATCACAGAAACTTGTCATATTTTAAAAATTCCAAGTGGTATAATCATTGGTCGTACACATAAAAGATGAATTTTTAAACCTTGATATCATCCATGAGTGCTCCAAAATTTAAATCTTTGGAATCAGGATTGTAGTACTGGAAGCTTGTCAGAGGAACTTGGGCATCTCTCCAAATGTTGTGGTGGCTGTTCAGTGAATATAATAGAAGACAAAATAAATGCATTAATTATACATCTCATATATGCAGGTTTCAGCAAATGCTGGATTTTGAGATTGAGGGAAAACCAATAGGTGTGTAAGGAACATACTTTGACCAAGTTGGGTTAGGCAAATAAATTCCAGATTCAGGATAGAAGCGCCTCTGAAATTCAGCAAAGAGACGGCATGCACCTGTACCAGAGAGAGCTTGAACTCCAGCCACCTTGCCTTCTTTTATAACATCTGAAGCTGCTCCATAAACTAATTTTGCACTCTCCTCAACCATTTCTGAAGCAACAGCACTGGATATTGATTCCCTGTCAATGCATCACTTGTTACACCACAGTATATTTGAGAGGTGGGATGCATACAAGACATTTCACTAGAAAGAGGGAATTTGATACAAACAATAAATACTTTTTACAAACTTCTAGGCCACATAACATCCTGAAAATACCCTCCTAGTTCATTAAGAGTAAGGGGTCTATAAAGTAATATTATATAATCACATAAAAAAGCAATTTTTGCCACAATTCTTGTAGATGACAGAGAAAAAATTAGAGGGAGAAATAAGAAAGAGAATGCTTGAGGTGCATCTAGCATTATCCTTAAACATAAGTGTTGACTAAAATATTTTATTATTTAATTAGTTGAGATAATATAATTAAAATTTTATTAAAATAAAAATTTATTTATCAATAGGTTAAGAATTTTATAAATATCTTAAGTATAATAACATAAAGTATGAGAAAATAAAGTTTCTATTTTTTTGTCCAAAATCAACATGGTATCAAAATTAAATAAATTTTTTTTAGCATTTAAATTTCAGGGTTTTTCCAACTCTAAACAGTAAAATAGAATCTCACCATCACCCTAACGAAGTCGCAGCCTCACTGTCGACCCGTCTCCCAACTCAGGTGATCCCAAAGCGCATGAGCTGCACGTGCCGCCGCCGACCACCATGCGCCACCTCGAGACTCATCGAAAATCATCACAGAATCGTATGCACGCTCAAATTCAGCACGGATTTGATGAACCACACCGA